TATAAAGATATTTATCTAGGGGCACCTGGGTGGCTCAGTTGGTTGAGTATCTGACTTTGGCTCAGATCATGATCTTGCGGTCTGTGAGTTCAAGCCCCGCATCAGGCTCTGTGCTGACAGCTCAGAGACTGGAGCCTCCTCCAGACTCTGTATCTCCTCTCTCTGCCTCCACCCCTCCAGTGTCTGTCTCTCTCTCTCAAAAATAAATAAACATTAATTTTTTTTTAAAAGATATTTATCTATCCCACAGCATATGGGACAGATGGATGGATGGTAGGTAGACCGATAAAGCAACCACAGTAAAACATTAAAAACCAGCAAATCTGGGGGGTGCCTGGTTGGTGGAAAGTGTAACTCTTAATCTCAGGGTTGTACATTCATTCAAGCCTCATGTTGGGTGTAGAGATTACTTAAAAAAATAAAATTAAAAAAAAAGCAAATATGGGGCAAAGCGTATACAAAAGTTTTTCTGCTATTTTTATGTTTTTTGCTAGTTTTCTGTTAGTTTTTCTGCTAACTTTAAGTTTGAAATTATTTCAAAATGAACAGTTAAAACAGTTCTCATTTTTATCTCTTTCTCACTATATGCCTCACTGTATATATTCCCAGTGAAACATATATAAGGTACCAATTCTTGGATATTTTAAAAAGAGATTTAGTTTATCAATTTTACTATTTACCATTTATCAGTTTTATAATTTGTATATCCTTATACTATTTGGCTGGGAAGTTTATTATGCTTCTCTCCTTTTTCTTATTAATAAGGATTCATCATTTTCCTCTAAGTACTGTTCTTACAGAATTATAGTCATTTTCTATATTTTTTGGACACTATCAAATTATGTTTCAAATGTTTTCCTTGGCCCTATGCTACTCAAGAAAAGACATTTCATATTTCCACGTGGCTAAGTACCATTTATATATTGTTTTTGCTATTCATTTCTAACCATATTACATAATAGGATGAGATGTTCCACTCTATTGCTTTTCAACGTATGGAACTGAGAAAAGGATTTGTGTGTGTGTGTGTGTGTGTGCGTGTGTGTGCGCACCCACGCATATGTGTTTAGAAAGAGATTTCCTTGAACTTGAAATGAAAAGATAAATGAACAGAAAGAAAAAATGAAGAACGGAAAAAATGCACACTTTGTGGTCTATTCTTGAGCAGCACTTTACCCCAGAAGTTATACACCATGGAATTAAACTCATTTATGGGAAGAAGGGAAAAACAAATAAACAAACAAAAACAGAATACATTTTGAAACTTTTAACAGAAAAGTTTCTATAGAATAACCATATATTACACATAAAATATTTAAGCCTAGTTTAATTAGAGGCTCTTTTTAGTGTTAATTTCAATCTCTTAAAGAGATTTTTGTACATTATGTTCCTGATGTACAAAAATAAAGATTTTATATTATAGTAAGATGTCTTTTATCAGTTTGGTATAAGACCAATTCAAATAATAAAGAACAAAATCTGGCCTGCTACTGGGGAATAAAAAATTTTATTTTTTGAAACACACCTTATTTATTATATACTTTGCTTTGCCCATGTTGAGATCTTTGCTCTATTTTCTTTTGGCTAGAGTACCTCCTTGGGTAATTTCCTCAGAAAGTATATGCTGCATGGCCAGAAAATGTCCCTTTTGTACTTAATATGAATGCTATCTTAGCCTGGCACCAGATTATTGACTCCTTGATCTTTTTCCTAATATGTACATGTTCCACTTTCTAAATTTTACAACTACTTCCATGCCAGTCTAGTTTTTTTCTTTAGAAATAAACGGCTCTTCCTATCTTGAAGCTTTTCTTTATTCTTGGGAATCAGATAATTCATACACATAGGACTGTCTTAGTTTATCTTTTTTTTTTTTCAATTTGGTAAGCTATTTCAGTCTGTGTAGTAAGGTCTTTCTTCTGCTCATGGAAATTTATTTCCAATTTGTCGCTTCAATTTTTACATTTTTGTAACTCCATTTCCATAATTACATTTTCATATGCCACAAAAGACTAGTATTCACATATTTTTTTCTCTTATCTTTCCTCTGTACCTCTTACCTCTTAGTTTTATCTTCTATTTGTTTCGTCTTCTTTGTTTTTAAATTTCCCCGATTCCCATTTGGATTTTCAGCACTATTTTTTGTTTTATTAGTATTTCTTTTTACATTTCACATATCTTGGTTTTGTTCCTCAAAACTCTTTATGTTTTCCAGACATTTCTTTGTAATATTTTCTTTCATCCCTTTAAGTTTGACTTTTGTTGGTGTTATTTTAATCTTCTGTTTCTCCCATCCTCTCTGCCTGCATAGGAGCTACCTGTTGAGCTTGGTCACTCCCATTCAGGGTGCTGTATGCTCCTACACTGTGCTCTCTTTCAGGTCAGGCTTATGGGGTTATCAGGCAATGAGAGGTAGGGGAGTGAACCTTGGCTCTCTGGTTTCTGGAGATATGAGAAAGATTAGGCCTCCCCACTCAGATTGGAAGAGGGGCAGTGCAGACCAAACAGTACTGATGTCATTTGGCAGGCTCACCCAGGGATTCGCCAGGCCACCTTTCTTCTCCACATGATAAGGGGATTTTCTCCTGGCTCAGCAGGCTGGATCCATAGAAAACATGTAGAGTGTCTTTAGCAGCGTCTAGTATTTTCACCAATAACACTCAGGTAGTGCCCTTACAGACCCTGGGCCTGCGTTGTCTACTTGAGAACTCAAGGCTTCATTCTTGCTGGGTTTCACTTCAGCTTCAGCAGGAAGCCACACTTCTCTTCCCCAGGAGGAGAGAGAGGCAGGACCATGAACTAAGATCCTATTCATCACCAGTAACATGTATCTGTTCACTCCCTAAAATTAGTTCACATGTGAGAAAATGCTTATCTCATTCTCTCTAATGAAGGATATGTTATCTCTCTTGGGAAGATAACCAGAGAGGAATCGGTTTCCTTATTTCTAGTAAATAAGAGTCCTCGGTATTTTAAATGAGCATGGGGAAGTCTTAGGGGATCGCCCGGAGCAAGCAGATGTGACGTGTAGCAATTAAAAGTGATACTGCTAGGGAAAAAATGTCCCCTGACCTGTGTTACTGGGGCACAGCAGAGAAACAAGGCTATGTAATATACAGGCTGTTCGTCAATCACAACAGCTAAAAAGTGGAAACAACCTAAATGTCCATCATCTGATGAATGAATAAATAAATTCTGGTACTTCCATATAATGGAATATTCAGCAATAAAAAGAAATAAGTACTGATATATGCCATGACATGGGTGAACCTTGCAATGTTATGATGAGTAAAAGATGGCAGTTACAAGATGCCACATATTGTTTGATTCTATCCACATGAAATGTCCAGAATAGGCAAATCCATAGAGACAGAAAGTAGATCCGTGGTAGCTGAGGGGAGGTGGATAGAATAGGAAGTCAATGCCAGTGCATATGGAGGTTTCTTTTAGGGGGAATAAAAATGTTCTAAAATTAGATGGTGGTGATGGTTGCACCGTCCTGAGACATACTAAAGAACACTGAATTTTACACCTCAAATAGGTGAATTATTTGGTTTGTGGATTATATCTCAATAAAACTGTAAAATAAAAGCAAAAAATATTTACATAGACTGTTCTGCAACTGCTTCATCCCCTTCTTAATGTGCCATAGACAGCGTTCTGCATCAATAAGATATACAACTACACCATTACATGTGACTGTACAATGTCCCACTGTATGGATATACTGTAATGCTTTATTATTAGACAGGAACTTATTTCCAACTGCTGCACTAATACGTCTTTGCATATCTGTCCCATTGTTTTCTTAGGAAACAAAGAATAGAATGAGGCCAAAGGGTCTGCACTCTATAAATTGACACATATTGCCTGCTTGTCCTCCAGAAAGGCCATACCAGTTAATATTCATCACAAAGGAGGGGTGCCTGGGTGGCTCAGTTGGTTGGGCCTCCAACTTTGGCTCAGGTCATGATCTTGTGGTTCATGGGTTCAGGCCCTGCATCAGGCTCTGTGCTGACAGCTCAGGGCCTGGAGCCTGCTTCAGATTCTCTGTCTCCATCTGTCTTTCTGCCCCTTCCCAGCTTGCACTCTCTCTCTCAAAAAAAAAAAAATAAACATTAAAAAAACATTCATCACAAAGGAAAACAAGAAGAGTTTTTTCTCTATAGTCCCACCAATGCTGACCATCATCAAACTACTTAATCTCTGCCAATTACAGGTGACATCAGTTTTTAGATGTGTATTTCTTTGATTATTGAATTGAATTGCATTTGTTTTGTTTTGTTTTGTTTTGTTTTTTAGTAATCTCTACACCCTGTGTGGGGCTTGAACTCAAGACCCTGAGATCAACAGTCACAAGCTCTTCTGACAGAGCAGCCATGTGACTCTGAATAGCATTTTTTAATAGTTATTTGATTTGTGATATCTGTACTTCTGTCCTTTGTCCATTTTTGTCATTTTTTTAAAGTTTATTTATTTACTTTGAGAGAGAGAGGGAGAGAGAGACAGAGGGAGAGAGAGAGACAGAGCGTGCAAGCTTGGGGAGGGGCAAAGAGAGAGAATCCAAAGCAGGGTCCGCACTGCCTGACACAGAGCTCCATTTCATGACCACGAGATCATGACTTGGGCCCTAATTAGGAGCCAGACACTTAACTGACTGAGCCAGCCAGGTACCCCCACTTTTTTTCGTCATCTTTATTAATTTTTCTGACGTATGCTACAAATTGTTCTTACCAAGTTGTTTTTTAACTTTGCTTATGGCATCCTTCTCCTTACACATTCTAATAATTTATATAAATTTATTATTCTTTTTCTTTATGGTATCTGGCCTTAATGCCTAGCCTTTTACTATCCCAGTGTAATAAAACAATGCCCTATATTTTCTAGTTCCTTTTATGTCTCATTTGAACAATCCATTCATTCCCTACTGATCTGTAGTCCTATGGCATTCTTGAATTCTTTAAGTGTGGCCTATGAAATCTGTCTATAAGATGACTTACCTAATTGTTGAGCCCATTTTATGACTGTACCAGTGTCTCCTGCATTGCTTTCAGCTAAGCATACAACTTCTTGCCCAATCTTCCACCCAATTAGTGGATAAAAGCCTTAGAAACAAAGAAACAGTATAAGTCAAATATAAATAGATAATTCATCCAGAGATGACTACAGTAGAACAATTTGATTTTCTTAAAAAATAGCAAAGTGGCAGGGTGCCTGGGTGGCTCAGTTGGTTAAGCATCCGACTTCGGCTCAGGTCATGATCCGGATCATCAATTCGAGCCCTGCATCGGGGCTCTGTGCTGTGACTCAAACCTAGGGCCTCTTTCGAATTCTGTGTCTCCATCTCTCTCTGACCCTCCCCCGTTCATGCTCTGTCTCTCCCTGTCTCAAAAATAAATAAACATTTAAAAAAATAAAAAAAAATAGCAAAGTGGCTCTGAAGTCAGTGGTTTCACAAATTTCTAACCTCTTAGCCTTAGTTTCCTCAATTGTAAAATGGTCTACCTCAGAGAGCTACTGTGAGAATAAACTGAGTTAATGCATAAAAAGAACTTAGTGCAGTGCCTGATATGTAAAATGAACACTAAACATTAGCTTTTATTATCCATAGGCATGTCTATGTCTCTAGAAACAGAGGAATAGAACCAACTACACTATCTCATTTATTTGTGGAGGTTCCTAAGTAGAAACAACCTGTTGCAATCAATGATCAGATTTTCTAGCTTCCATTTCCCTAGTTGGGGGAAAAGGAAGAGCTTGAGGGGGGATGGAAGGTAAGAAAAAAATATATATATGTTAATATATATATATTTATATACTCATATATGTATATATATTTTAAGAGAAACCAAGCTTCTTTATTTTTTTTAATGTTTACTTTTGAGAGAGAAAGTGAGCCTGAGGTGGGGGAGGGGCAGAGAAAGAGGGAGTCACAGAATCTGAAGCAGGCTCCAGGCTCTGAGCTGTCAGCACAGAACCAAACGCGAGGCTCTAACTCACAGACCGTGAGATCATGACCTGGGCCAAAGCTGGAAGCTTAACCGGCTGAGCCACCCAGGCACCCTAAGAAAAACATTTTAAAATCTACCTTTTAGTAACCACAGTAGGAGACCATAGCCCAGATTAAGAGCCCACAGGCCTCTTAGGGTGTTCTTCCACAATCTAAATTTCTTGGTTTATACATCCTAGGATGTCTTCCATCGGGGAGATCAATTTCTTGCCAATTGCCATTACATATGCATGGAACACTAGTTGAGAATTACCACAAAAAAAATTTTTTTTTCACAAAAAGAATTGCTAACACATAAAAAGAAAATTTAGAGGCCTAGAAAGATGTTTTAAACACATATAACAAATTAGGCAAATATTTGGAAAACTGACCAAAATACCCTAATCCTGAGTTTTTCTATAATAACATCTTTCTCATTTTTTAAGCTTTTAAGGAAAGAAGGGAAATAGAAATTAACTAAGAATAATAACAAAAAAATATATTACAGAGTGTCCTTAATATAAACTGGGAAAACAGTATCAGAAAAGTTAAATATGAAAATAAGTGATATTTGTCAATAAAAAAGATAAATTCCAACTACCTCCAACAGTATGTTGCACGCTATTTCCAGTATTAATATCCAAAAATGTCCCAGTTCCCATGGTAAGTTTCACGTCTCCAGTCTGGAAGCAGCATTCTCCAAACATGGCTGATTGCTGATCGGCGACCTACCAAAAATGTTCAAATGTAAGATGGCTGGTCTTTAGCAGTGGCCTATTTCACTGTATCCCACTGTCTCCTATACTATATTCCCATACTTCAAAATTTTGTTTTCTTTTTTCCTTTTCCTAAAAAAAAAAATCCCTGGAAAGAACAAAGAGCAACAATAAGATAGAAGTCTCTCTAGGGAATGTGCCTCGGGAATTTTTAGTGGGCAATCTACTTTATGATGTTTAAGTGTCACAGGAATGATCTTAGAAATAAAGGTCAGAATAAAAATTGTGCAGAAAAAACAACGAAGATTTTTTAACTTAAAAGCAGTTTCATTCATTAGTTAAATAACTGACCTCACAAATTTCTCTTTTAACGAGTGATAGGTGTATGCTTAATCTAAATACATGTAGGTTGAAACCACACATTCCCAACCATACATTTTTGTTAGAAGAAAAAATATAACATCTTGTGAAAATAATTAAACGTACATATACATTGTTAAGTAACAAAAATTCAATGGGGTAAATTTTAAAGATCTAATTGGCTTTATTAATTGATGCATGAATTGGGCAGCACCCTATCTAGCAGAGGTGAGCTCCAAAGGGCTAAAGAAAAGGATAGTTTTTAGAAGTAGAGAAAGAGCGGAGAAAAAAGGAAACTATTGGCAAAGAATCCATTGTTTTAGGCAAGGTCACCTTCCTAAGGGGAACAGAAGAGCCTATCGTTAAACTTCCTGGTGCTGACCAGGGAATTCCCATGTTGACTGGTTAAGGGTTATATTTTTGGGTGGTTGAAACTGCAGATAGATTAGCTGCTAAGTCTTGGTTAACTGGCTTGGGACCACCATTTGACGCCTGTGGTTTTCTTTTTAACAGTTTCCTCCCCTTTGATCAGACTCTCAGCTTAACTGAGAGATGTGATCAAAATTTAAAGCATTAGCGCCATTCTCTGCCATCAGCTCCAGAGCTGATCAGTTGTTACTGGTCCTTTGTGTGTGGACCTGTGTGACTCACAGGTCATGATGGTTTTTTTGCTTAATCTCTGTGACATTCACAGGTTACAACTTCAGGTTCACAATTTCTAAGTCAATTGTCCTTTTCATTCCTTTTCTGACATTCCAGTCTTAGGGAGATCATTTGCTTGGTGGTTAGCAGTTAACATGCATTTAAAGCTTTTGAGAGAATACAATGTACCAGGGGGATTATTACGATAACTACAAGCAGGATAATTCCCAGTGTTTTGAGAGCACTTCAGAGCCATAGTCCCCAAGACTGAAAACAATTAAAATCAAAGAAAGACCCTGCTGAAGAAGTTATTCTTTTAAACCAAGCAGCTTGCTCAGTGATCTTATGTAATTAAATTTCAATTTCCCCAGAAGGGTTAATCCAGATACAGCAGGTGGTGTTGGCCACAGCAGAGGTACCTCCTTGTTCAGCTGAAAGATATTCAGGGGCTGTCCTACTATTAAGAACAACTTTGGCCAAAGAGTCTAAGGATCTTTGTTGGACAGCAGTTGCTTTAGCAGCAGATTTTGCAATAATTTCAAGAATTGAGAAGTTCCTGATCATAGGTTTATTTACGCTTATCCCTAATAAGGGACGTAGGGACCTACCAAGAGGAATGAATCCTGAATCATAAAAGCCTCCCAGCAGATCCTTTCTAGCTCAACAATGAAACTTCTGGGGAGTTGTCCAAAGAAATGCCTTATTTTGCTTGTGAAAAGTTAGGGGGTCAGTTAGACTTTCTCATGGCCTGAAATAAAAGGTTGTTCTAAATTCCAAAGGTTTACCCCCTTAACAATGGCCTGGGGAGAAACAGATGAGGGCATTTTCTTTCCAGGTCAATGTTACAGTAAAAGAAAGGAGAAGGAGAAAGAGTTTCATGTTTAAAGTTTAAAGTCTTGATCCATAGTCTTGGGCAGAAGCAGGATGCCTTGATGTAAGCAATTTCTCTTCCTCATCATTTTGATTTGGAGGTTTCCAGTGTCTGTACAGGGCCTGGTTGCAGGTGGAGCCTTCACAAGCTGAGAGATATGTACTCAAGGCTCCATCCCTTCTGGTTTTGCAGCAGTATCAGTGATCAGGAGCCCTTGGTAAGATTCCTCTTCAAATGGTGCCTGAGAGCTACCTTCCTCTGATAATGTTTCCCGAATACCTAAATCTCCAGGCTCTACATTGTGACCAACAGGATCATTTGAATTGGAATCTGAGAAGGTTTCTTTAACTTGTTGATGATAGGCTTGAGCATAAGATATTAGAGGTTTACAGTAGTTGGTCTTAATAGCATGAGACAACAAAGGATCAGCAGACACTTGTATACTGATAGAATTTCAATAAGTTTTGCGAGGTTTTCGTTAAGGCTCATAGGATTTGCCCTCTGAAATGGGTGCCTCGATTGCTGGAGATTGTGGAAGGTATGCCCCAAATGGGAAAACGTTTTCTAACAGTTTCTTTGCTACTGTGAGGGCATCACAGCTTTGCAGCAGGGAAAGGCTTCAACCCATCCATAAAACATACAAACAATAACAAGAATACACTGATAACCCATAGTAAATGGCAGTTGAATGAAGTCCAGTTGCAGGTGTTAAAAGGGGCCAGAGCAGGGAGGTCTGAGGCTCTGGGAACAAAATCAGTTTTTCCAGGAGGACCTGACAAATCAGAAATTCCTGGTAAATTGTTTTTGCAATATTATAGAAGTCTCCCTCCCAATGTCTATTCATAATTTGGGTCATCTTAAATGCCCTATGGTGCATGAAGGAATATACAAATTGAAAAATAGTGTTTGCCAGGGAGCTGGGAAGAACTAAGCAGTCATCTTGGTTTTCTGATAGCCCCAACTACTCATTTAATTGGCAATGTTTACCCATCTTAATTTCTCTGACTCAGCACCAGGCTGTTGCCATGTTATAGGACATTAGCATGGCAAAAATCCGGCAATGAGGACTTTTTTTTTCAGAAGCAGAATGGGCTTTATGCACATGTGCCAAAATCTTACAACATAAAGAAGGCTTAGTATTACTTCTTTTTTAAAAATTTATTTACTTAAATTCAAGTTAGTTAACATACAGTGTAATAATGATTTCAGGAGTAGAATTTAGCGATTCATCACTTACATATAACATCCAGTGCTCTACCCAACAAGCGCCCTCCTCAATGCCCATCACCCATTTAGCCCATCCCCCACCCCACACCTCTCTAGCAACTGTTTGTTCTCTGTATTTAAGAGTCTCTTAAGGTTTGCCTCTCTGTTTTTATCTTATGTTTCCCTCCCCTCACCTATGTTTATCCATTTTGTTTCTTAAATTCCAGATATGAGTGAAATCATATATTTGTCTTTCTCTGACTGATTTATTTTGCTTAGCGTTAACACTCTCCAGTTCTATCCACATTGTTGCAAATGGCAAGATCTCATTCTTTTTGATTGCTGAGTAATATTCCATTGTATATACATACCACATTGTTATTCATTCATCAGTCTATGGACATTTGGGCTCTTTCCATATTATGGCTATTGTTGATAGTGCTGCTATAAACATTGGGGTGCTTGTGCCCCTTCAAATCAGCATTTTTTTATCCTTTGGATAAATACCTAGAAGTACAATTGCTGGGTCATAGGGTAGTTCTATTTTTAATTTTTTGAGGAACCTCCATACTCCAGCGTGGCTGCACCTGTTTGCATTCTCACCAGCAGTGCAAAGGGGTTCCTCTCTCTCCACATCTCTCCAACATCTGTTGTTGCCTGAGCTATTAATGTTAGCCATTCTGACCAGTATGGTTTTGATTTGCAATTGCCTAATGATGAGTAATGTTGAGCATCTTTTCATGTGTCTGTTAGCCATCCGGATGTCTTCTTTGGAAAAGTGTCTGTTCATGTGTTCTGCCCATTTCTTCACTGGATTATTTGTTTTTTTGGGTACTGAGTTTGATGAATTCTTTATAGATTTTGGATACTAACCTTTATTTGATATGTCACTTGCAAATATATTCTCCCATTCCATCCAATGCCTTTTAGTTTTGTTGACTGTTTCCTTTGCTGTGCAAAAGATTGTTTCCTTTGCTGTGCGGGGGATCTCATACCCCCCGCTGTTCAGGCAGCCCCCACAGAACAGTGAGGGCAGTCAGCTCACCCCACTCCAGCTCCACAACTCTCCTACATTTTTTCTTTGGCATGCAGCTGGGATTCGAAACCCTAAGTCTTAAAGGACCACGTGGATCCTCTCTCTTCCTCTGGAGTACAGCTAATGAAATTTTGGCTGGCACCTACAGGGTCTTTTGTCCTTGGGGAAGCAATAAACCCTCTTCCAAAAGCCTTCCAGGAAGGGAATGTTCTCTCCCAGTGAACCCTGGAGATCCCTATACCACCCTATGCACTCCATGGCCAGCTCCCTCCTCTCCAGAGGCATGAACCACAGCTCTGGTCCAGAGAAAGTTGTACACTTCCAAAACCTCAGAATTTGAGCTCCAAACATTGTTTGCAAAACACATCTGGGACCCTTAGTATTTCTCACTCCCCAGTCCATGGTCCAGAGAGGTTTTCCCTCTTGTGTCAACTCTCAACCTCTCTCTCTTACCCTCCCTTGTCTCTCTCCACAGAAAGGGTTCCCTCCCCTCAGCAACACCATCATTTTTCTCTCCCCCAGTTCACTTCCATGTACCTCACACTTGCCAAGCTGTCTCCCTCTACCTGTAGGGATTCTTCTGTCACTCAGTGGATAGATTTCCTGGATGTTCCAAGTGATCAATACAACTGTGTTTGAGGGACAAGGAAAATCCCAGTCCCCCTACTTCTCCACCATCTTCAGTGCGACAGCCTCTTAATGAATCTTTTCTTGCCCATTATTACACTGCAACTAGTGATCATTTTGAAATGTAAATTCATTCATGCCCTCCCCCTCACACAGAGTCACTTAAGCCTCTAGTGGTTTCCCAATCATTTAGAATAGCATTTCCAATGCTTACCAGAGAATAGAAAGTCCTGCATTATCCACTATGCTACGCATAGCTTTCTTTAATTT